CACTCTAGATGATCTGAGACCTCTCTGGAAAGCAGCAATGAGCACTTCAGACTTAGGATTGTAAAACATGGGTTTGAGTACAGGCTCTGTCATCTCCTGTGACTTTGCTCTCTAGGTCTCAGCTTCCTTCCTCATTCACAAGGTGGGATGATGAACATGCACCCCATCCATTCATAGGGTGATTTCAAGGTCAAATTATGTAACAGGCGTAAAAGGATATTGAAAATGGTAAAGTGGACTGGGCATGGTGGCTCACACCTGTAATCCCAGCACTTTGGGAGGCCGAGATGGGCAAATCACTTGAGGCCAGGGATTTGAGACCAGCTGGCCAACATGGAGCAGCTGTGTCTCTACTAAAAAGACGAAAATTAGCCAGGCATGGTGGTGCATGCCTATAATCCCACCTACTTGGGAGGCTGAGGCAGGAGAATCGCTTGAACCCAGGAGGCAGAGATTGCAGTGAGCCAAGCTCATGCCACGGCGACAGAGAAAGACTCTGTCACAAAAATAAAAAGAAATAAATTTTTTAAAAAAAGAAAAGTAAAAGAAAGTGGCAAAGTGCTCAGCAAATGAGTAAATGAATGGATTATTAATACATGGCTCTGTTTTCCAAGTTTGGTTTCTTCTCTTGCCTCTCAGAAGAATTCTTTGTCTGCCTACTTGGGAGGCCGAGGCAGGAGATTAGCTTGAACCTGGGAGGTGGAGGTTGCAGGGAGCCAAGATCCAGCCATTACACTCCAGCCGCCTGGGTGACAAGAGTAAGACTCCATCTTAAAAAAAAAAAAAGGCCGGGCACGGTGGCTCATGCCTATAATTCCAGCACTTTGGGAGGCCAAGGCAGGTAGATCACGAGGTCAGGCGGTCGAGACCAGCCTGACCAACACAGTGAAACCCCATCTCTACTAAAAATACAAAAATTAGCTGGGTGTGGTGGCGTGTGCCTGTAATCCCAGCTACTCGGGAGGCTGAGGTAAGAGAATTGCTTGAACCTGGGAAGCAGAGGTTTCAGTGAGCCAAGATCGGGACACTGCACTCCAGCCTGGGCGACAGAGCAAGACTCTGTCTCAAAAAAAAAAAAAGTATATATATGTAAATTGTTGTTAGACTATGTTATTTAGAGAATAATGATTTTTATTTGTAGTTTTTTGAGATAGGGTCTTACACCATCACCCAGGTTTGAGTGCGGTGGCATGATCTCGGCTCACTGCAACCTCCATCTCCCAGACTCAAGCAGTCCTCCCACCTCAGTCTCTTGAGTAGCTGGGACTACAGGCACATTCCACCACTGAGCTAATTATTTGTATTTTTGGTGGAGTTGGGGTTTCACCATGTTGCTCAGGCTGGGAGAATAATGATTTTTTAAAAGTCTATATGTATTCAGTACAGATGCAAACATCCATTTAAAAATATTTTTGATTCATGGTTGGTTAAATCCATGGATATGGAACCCACAGATATGGAGGGCTGACTGTACTTTATCATTTTATTAAAAGACACCACTTTTTTTGAAGCATAACTTAAAGTTTGCAGAGCTTAAGTGTACGGATTGATGACTTTACATGTGTGTTCATCAAGATCCAGAACGAAGGCTCAGAAGACGTCCAGGGCCCCGGAGGGCTCCCTCGTGCCCCTCCCAGTCAGTACCCACCCCTGCAGTAGTGATTTAATTTTGAGTAAGCAATACATTCACACGGTACAATTCCAAAGGTACAAAAAGTAAACTGGAAAATCTCCCTCCTATCCTGCTATCAGACACCCATTTTTTGGAGGGGTTAGGGAGAGACAGGGTCTTGCTCTGTTGCCCAAGTGGAGTACAGTGGCACAATCACTGCTCACTGCAGCCTTAAACCTTAACCCCCCCAGGTTCAAGCGATCCTCCCTCCTCAGCCTCCTGAGTAGCTGGGACTACAGCCACGCTCTGCCATCTCTGGCCAATTGTTTGTATTTTTTCTTAGATACAGGATCTCACCATGTTGCCCAGGCTAGAATTGAGCTCCTGGGCTCAACCAAACTGCCCAACTCAGCCTCCCAAAGTGCTGGGATTATAGGCACGAGCTACTGGACCCAGCCTGAGACATCCATTTTTTCTCCCATGAGAAAATATTGTTGGTTTCATGCAGACATTTCCAAAGAAAGGAGATACACGCACTTTATATATTCTATCATATCATATTATACTATATTAATTTTTTCAACTTTTTACACAAAAGATATGTAACTAGTCAATTGTTGTGTACCTTTTTTTTTTTTTTTTTTTTTTTTTTTTTTTTTTTTTTTTTTTTTTTTTTTTTTTTTTTTTTTTTTGAGATGGAATCTCTCTCTGTTGCCCAGGCTGGAGTGCAGTGGCTCAATCTCGGCTCACCGCAACCTCCGCCTCCCAGTTCAAGCAAGTCTCCTGCCTCAGCCTCCCGAGTAGCTGGGACTGCAGGCGCTCACCACCACGCCCAGCTAATTTTTGTATTTTTAGTAGAGATGAGGTTTCACTATGTTGGCCAGGCTGGTCTTGTACTCCTGATCTGTGATCCGCCCGCCTTGGCCTCCCAAAGTACTGGGATGACAGGTGTCAGCCAATGTGCCCGGCCACCATTTTTTTCCTTAATAATGCAACTTAAAATGCTAGAATCACTTCAATAATTAGCAAATTAATGTATTTACCAAAAAGCACCCCTTGCGAAAGAGTTGGTTTATAAAAATTCAAACCTTCCTTACCAAACACTTCGATGATGCTTGGCTTCACAGCCCTCTGAAGGTCCTTGGGCAGCAAGCTCTGCTGCTACATCAGAAAATGCAATTCGATTAGGAAAACGTGATTCATGTTAACTTTTCGGCAGCCCTCCCAATAAACCATGCTGTGAGATTCTGCCACCTTGGTATTACCTCTTCCTTTATAACTCTTATCAATAATAACTGCAGGGGTTTATATTAGCAATAATTCATGAGTGCTAAAGAACTTGTGTAAAACACACCCAAAAATGCAACTGAAATTTGGAGCATAAATTGTGGAATTTCTCAAAGGCCTGAATTACTGGAGCTTATTTGATTGAGGTGAATCAAAGTAGAAATAACTATTTTGCTGTTTTAGAGGTATTAAGCAGATTTCCTAGGAAACTGGTCAAAAGAATCCACCAGTGTTGTGTGAGTTTCTTGGGAAGAGCAGGCCTGGCCCTGCCAGAGGGCAGCTGAGAGAGTCGGGCCAGGTTGAGATCCAGGAAACAGAGTAGGGGCCAGTCAGGAGTGGGAGGGCTAGTAGGGTGATGCAAATTCCAATCCCCAGGTACATCAGCAAGGCCGGAGGGTATAAACAGGGCCCCAAGCCAGAGCCACAGCCAGCAGGCAGGGCTCTAGAGCTGGACTGGCTATGAACAGGCTTAGGAGCAAGTTGGGAGACACAGGATCGTCACCAAGAATAAGGCCAAAGTCCACTAGTCTCTGGGGTAATCTGTGGAGCATGCTAACTCAGTATGGGGACAGACACATACGGGCTTTGCAAAGGGTCTCTATGGAGAATTGTAACAATAATAGCCCCAAGCAGAATCCAGTTCCCTGTGTCCATGCTCTTTTGCAATGTAACTTTGCTGCTTCCGCTACCACAAGGTGGAATCTATTTCACCTCCCCTTGAATCCGAGTGGGTCTTGTGACTTGCTGTGACCAACAGGCTGTGGCAAAAGTGATGCTGAACAGGCGGGGCATCGTGGCTCATGCCTGAAATCCCAGCACTTTGGGAGGTCGAGGTGGGTGGGTCGCTTGAGCCCAGGAGTTTGAGATCAGCCTGGGTAATGGTAAAACCCAGTCTCCACAACATTTTTTTTTTTTTTAATTTAGCCGGGCATGGTGGTGTGCACCTGTAGTCCCAGCTACTCTGGAGGCTGAGGTGAGAGGATCCCTTGAATTCAGGGTCCAAGACTGCAGTGAGTTATGACTGTGCCATTGTACTCCAGCCTTGGTGACAGTGAGACTCCATCTCAAAAAAAAAAAAAAAGAAGAAGAAGTGATACTGAGCAACTTCTGAGTCTGTGCTTCTGCTTTTGTGCTTTTGGAGTGGTTTCATAATTATGTAAGGAGGCTGGCCTGAAGGACCACAGGAGGAGAGAGGTCCAGGCCCCCCAGCCAGCCTAAACCACCCAACCCAGCCAAGCCATTAGCAGACTGTTGCTATGTGAATGAAAACAGCAGAGGAACCATCTAGCCAACCCACAGAATTGCAAGAAATAGTAAACAGCTGTTTTAAGTCACTAAGTTTAGGGATGGTTTGTTACACAGCATTAGGTAACTGATACAACCATCTATACTATCAATGGACTACTCAGGTCTAAAGGGTATCTCATGTTGTACAAACTCAGAATTGAGACCTTAAACGTAAGCATTTGATGTTTTATAATTATGTTCTCCAGAATCCTTTCACATGTTCTTTTTATTATTTTGAGACAGGGTCTAGCTCTGTTGCCCAGGCTGGAGTATAGCGGCATAATCATGACTCACTGCAGCCTTGACCTTCTGAGATCAAGTAATCCTTCCACCTCAGTCTCCTGAGTAGCTGGGACCACAGAAACATGCCACCATGCTGGCTAAATTTTTAATTTTTTTGTAGAGATGGGATTACACCATGTTGTCCAGGCTGGCCTCAAATTCCTGGGCCCAAGCAATCTGCCTACCTTGGCCTTGAAACGTGCTAGGATTACAGGCATGAGCTACACACTCATCTACACAGGTTCTATCTAATTTGTCATGACAACCCAGCGAGGAAGAGGAAGAGGAAATGTGGTATATCTCCATTACACAGATAAGAAAACTGAGGCTCAGACAGGTATGTGATGACTATCCCAAGATTACTCAGCAAATCAGTATAGGTGCTGTTATAGACTTAACTGTGTTCCCCCAAAATTTATATGGTGAAGCTCTAGTTTCCAATGTGATTATATTTGGGGATAGGACCTTTAAAGAGGCAATTAAGATTAAAGAATGTCGCCCGCGCCCTCGGCCCTTCTGCGCCAGAGGTGGCCATCTCTGGGCGGCGGCGGCAGCGGGCGGTGTCTGCGAGGTCGGTGAGACCCAGGCGGGTGAGGCGCAGACCTCCTTACAGCCTTGAAAAAAATGACAGATCTCGTAGCTGTTTGGGATGTTGCTTTAAGTGACGGAGTCCACAAGATTGAATTTGAACATGGGACTACATCGGGCAAACGAGTAGCATATGTAGATGGGAAGGAAGAGATAAGAAAAGAATGGATGTTCAAATTAGTGGGCAAAGAGACATTCTATGTTGGAGCTGCAAAGACAAAAGCAACCATAACTATAGATGCTATCCGTGGTTTTGCTTATGAATATACTCTGGAAATTAATGGGAGGAGTCTCAAGAAGTATATGGAGAACAGATCAAAAACCACCAATACTTGGGTATTACACATGGTTGGTGAGAACTTTAGAGTTGTTTTGGAAAAAGACACTATGGACGTATGGTGCAATGGTAAAAAAGAAATGGAGACAGCTGGTGAGTTTGTAGATGATGGGACTGAAACTCACTTCAGTATCGGCAACCACGACTGTTACATAAAGGCTGTCAGCAGTGGGAAGCGGAAAGAAGGGATTATTCATACACTTATTGTGGATAATAGAGAAATCCCAGAGATTGCAAGTTAATGAATTTTAATCTTAAAAAGTAAAGAAGGCCGGGCGCGGTGGCTCAAGCCTGTAATCCCAGCACTTTGGGAGGC